GATCACACAATCATGCTGGAAGACCTACAAATGCCTAGAGAAGTGTTCCTCTAGGAACTTCTAGGTTCTCCAGAACAACTCTATGGTTAATTTCTGGCAGAGTTGCACCACAGGACCTAGAAATTCCTCGAGAGAACATCTTAATCAAAACTGCAAATAATCAGATCCTCAAAAATGAAAGATGCAAATGTGGAGGGCCCATTGTATTTCTAGATGTCAATCTGCATGGATTTCCAGAAGCAAGCTAAGCTTTAAAAAACAAAAAACCTCAAAACTATAAATGGTTTTTGCTGTTTTTTCTTCTAATTTACTTATTTTTGAATTAATTACTTTAATTTCTTCAGTTGTACTTTCTAGTTTTTGTCTAAATTCATTTAGCTCATCTCTTATCTCTGAGCGTATTTCTTCTTTGAATCCTTTCAATTCCACCATAATCCTCCTCTCTTACTTCAGCTCTTATTTCATCCTTTATCCTCCTGATCTTGTCTAATATCCAGAGGTTTGCATTGATAGGTTTGCTTAATTCTAAAGATGGCCTTCGTTGAATTTGTATTTGTGTCCATGTCCGTTTTGCTGTTGTCATTTTTCCAGATCTTTATTTTTCTTTTGGACTTTCCTTTATACATATTTGGGGTGTTCTATTTAATTTTCCTGTTCTTAGTCCATTTTTTATACAGATTTGTTAAGTTGTTACTTTCGTTAGGCGGTCCTATGTTGTCATAATTCAGGGCTGGATCTATGGTACTCCAGCCTTCATCACACAGGTTCAAGGATAGCTAGAAGATGCTAAAAGACAGCTAAAAGATGGCTTTTTCAACAAAGGCCTCACAACTGCCTCCTTTAAGCAAGTTGGAAGCTGCTTTGGTGTAAGGAGGCATTGGTTACCCCTTTTACCCATTCAGCCAGTCCCCCTCCCGGCCTGTTGGATAAGCCAATGTCACCCCATCAGCCACCCCATCCCAAATAAATAGTTTCTGAATTCCACTGGGCTATCAAATCTGATCTTGAAACTTGAGTTTACCTTTGCTAAAAGCAGATAATAAAGGAAGCTGCTGGCCCTGGAACTGTAAAGGAAAACTGTTCAAAAGGAAACATGATAAGGCATTTTCGATTAGGGCAGACCATTTTCTGCCTACTAGGAATCTGACAATAGTGTTAGCCCCAGGCGAGTACTTAAAGGCTTTGCCAACCTCTCCCTGAATATTAGATTTCACAGGTGAAATTTAGGGCACTTCTAAAAAGTCTGGCAAGTCATTTGTGAGCTCCTGACTGCCAGCAGGTTTCAACAGGTGCCCCATCAGAAAGTTATGCAAGTGCTGCCAGCCAGATATACATGTGTGTGTATGGTTGGCTGGACTCTGACTGCATCCAGTGATTGCATCTAAGCAATATCAGCTCTAAACAAGATGCAAATAGTAAATCTCCTCTGTTTTAACTTGCGGAACATCACAGCTTCCCTACACTGTAGACATTTCTGTATAAGAAAAGGTATTTAGCCATAACCCCAGGAACTACTTTACTAATGGAAAAAGAGAAGGTCAGTTCATCTTTACATATTCAGTCCTTATGGATGAGAATGTGAAATATAGAGATATTGGATACTGACCTGGAAGACTCTCTCTCTCTCTCTCTCTCTCTCTAGATATAGATATAGATATAGATATAGATATAGATATAGATATAGATATAGATATAGATATAGATATATACACATACACACATATACAGTGGGTCCACTCTGGTTTGGTTCCAGGACACCCCATGAATAACAAAATCCATGGATGCTCAAGTCCCATTAAATACAATGGCATAGCAAAATGGTGTCTCTTATATAAAATGGAAAACCAAGGTTTCCTATTTGGAATGTATACTTATTAAAAAAAATATTTTCAAGCCGTGGATGCTTGAATCCATGGATAAAATATCCGTTGATAAGGAGGGCTGACTGTGTGTGTGTGTGCTACAAAGCTTCCTTTCAGTCAATCACACCTTTTTGTCCCAATGTATTTTATGAGCTTGCTGCATGGATAAAAGTGGAGACACTATCTCTGCTGTCCTGTGCTCTTTGGAAGAAGGAAGGTGATGTAGAAATGTAACTAGGGATGGGCCACAGCTTGGTGGTAGAACACATGCTCTGGATGAAGAAAGTCTCCATTTCATAAAATCATAGCAACCTGCCTTGTACAGTGTCAGGACACTGAGTTTTATCTCTGAGCTACTGTCTTTTCCCCAAGGAAAACAAAACAGGTGAGACACTTGTTGGATGACCAGTCAGAATAGGCAACACTAAGCTAGCTGGACAAATAGTATAAGGCAGCATCATGTATTCCGAATAATATTTACAGGAAAGTGTTATTTTTGATTGTAAAATTTAAGAAGACCTTGATGTGGGTTTCCATTCTTTGGCTTGTTTCTGTTTACACCTGTGGCAGGTAATGTGGCTTGCATTTGTTCTGTTTCGTGTCTAACAAATTAAGAATGCTATGCTGCATGATAGTTAACAAGGTTCGTTTTTAAAAAAATCTAGGGTGATTTATTTACGTATTTAATTCAAATAATTTATATGTCATCTAGTACTAGAGGAAGTGTATATCTGAGAGCATGGGACAAGGTCAAACCTATTTGCAGCCCATCTGATGTCTGTAAAACCTTGTCATTCCTCTTCTCCTTTTACCATCTCTCTCTCTCTCTCTCTCTCTCTCTCTCT